GAGCTCAAAAAACTAAACAGCAAAAAAACCAAATAATTAATAAATGAGTAAACAACTTGAAGACAGTTCTCAGAAGAAATTCATCCTTAATCATAAAGGAAATGTAAATTAAAACTACACTAAGGCCAGGTGCCTGTAGCTCATGCCTATAAACCTAGCTATTCAGGAGCCAAAGAGCAGGAGAATCATGGTTGAAAGTCAGTCCAAGCAAATAGTTTTGAGACCCTATCTCAAAAATACCAAGAAAAACAGTCTGGCCAGAATGGCTCAAGTAGTAGAGAGCTTGCTTAGTGAGTGTGAGGTCCTGAGTTCAAACCCCACTACCACCAAAAAACCCAAAACAAAACAAAAACACTACACTAAGATTCCATCTCACCCAGAGACCAAGAAAACAAACAAATGCTGGTGAAGTTGGAGTATGGGGGAAGGAACCCTTATACACACTGTTGCTGGGAATGTAAATTAGTACAACCACTGTGGAAATCAGTATGGTTTCCTCTAAAAAGAAAAATAGACCTGCCTTATGACCCTGCCTTACCACTCTTGGGCATACACCTGCACAAGTGTAAATCAGTACACAAGAGAGATACTTGCAAACCCATGTTTACGCACCTCTGTTCACAATATCCAAACTGGAATAAGCTGAGGTACCCAACAAACAATGAATGCATAATGAAAAAAAAATATATATACACAAATGCACAAATGTGGAGTATTACTCAACCATAAAGAGAAACAAAATTGTAAAATTATGTCATTTACTGGAAACTAAATGGAATTGGAGATCATCAGGCTGAGAGAGATCTCCCAAGCTCAAAAAACCCCAATATTGCATGTTATCACTCATGTGTGGAACCTAGACTTAAAATGATAATGATAATAATAACACTAATGGAACATAAATGTGAGAAGGGAAGAGTGTGGGGGGGAATCAATGGGAGGGGGAGGAAAGGAAAAAGATACTGAGGGGAACAGAACCAAAATATGCTACATGTATGTGTTTGAAGATAGATAGTGAAACCCACCAAACACTGTAAAAAAGGAGGGAGGAGAGAACAGGACTATAATGGAGGGAGTGAACTTGTTCAGAGTACACTATCACATGTATAGAATTACCACAATGAAACCCCCAAGTGTTATTATTGTATGATAATTGATGTATACTAATTCAAAGTATAATAAAACTATTAAAAAGATTTCTAGTATAATGCATTCTATGCATATCAACTTACATATATATGTAAATTATTTCATATGTGTAATATATATGAAAGCATATAACATATAATAACATTATATTACATATATAGTATAGGCAGATAGATATTTCTTTTGGGTGATACTGGGGATTGACCTCACGGCCTTGTGCTGCCCAGGCAAAGGCTTTACACTTCAGCCATGCCCCCAGCCCTTTTTGTCTTAGTTTGTTTTTAGATAGGATCTTGCACTTTTGCCTGGGCCAGCCATGGACTTAAATCCTCCTGCCTCTGCCTCCTCAGTAACTGGGATTACAGATGTGCACAACCATGCCTGGCCCACAATTTGTATTTTTGAGCATGTGTCATCTGTTCCTCATACCAACCCCAATAAAAATTTAAGACATTTTATCTTACCCACCACAATTATATTTTGTTCTCCAACTCCAGACTACCCATTCTGATAATTCTGTATATGTAAAAAAAAGTTTATGTATTTAAATAAATGCAATTATAAATATAAGTAAGTACATGTATACTAATGTACTAGGAACTTGTTTTTCCTTACAATATAATTTTAAGGGCTATCTGTTCTGTATTATGTAGTGTAACAAGTTATTCTGATGATAGGGTCATAATTCTTCCATCCAGGCAGCATATTTACCGATCATTTCTTGGCTCTAATGCCTCCTTTCCAAATCTTTACACATACGTAATTCCCTTGTTGGCTTTTCATGTGTTCCTCCTAGCACATAATAGGGATGGAGTGCTGAGACCCAAGTGACCAAAGGCTTCACCCACAGCTGTCAGGTTGCCCTCCCAGATGAGTTCCCAGTCTACAACTCCACCCATGCAGGAAGACAGGTAGTAGCACACCCTCACTAGCCTTGGTACCATCGGTTTCCTGATGGAATGGATTTAAAATGAGACCTCATTTTATTTTGCATTTCTCTGATTCCTACAGTTGTCAAGCATTTGAGTTTTCACTTTTACAAACTGCACAAACTTTTCAAATATTATTTTTTGTCTAATGGGGAACAAGTTTGTTTTTGTTCATTGCCTATTTATCAGCTGGGTCAAGGTCCTTTTATTGATTTATAAAAGCTTTTTTGTATGGTTTAAGAATTATTCCTTTACCAGTTTTGACCCTGTTAATATCTGATAACTTTGTCAGTGTTTTCTTCATTTTACATAATAAAAATCAATCTTTTTGCATTACTGGGTTTTAGGGATTCTTAAATAGACCTTCATGATTTTTAATTCTTATATATTGATCGTATGGTTTTACCTTTCACATTTAATACAAGTTAAAAAGTAACATTGAAGAGGACTGGCAGGCATGAGTCAAGTGGTAGAACACTTATCTAGCAGCAACAAGACCCTGAGTTTGAATTCCAGTACTGCCAAAAATAAATAAATTTGCATGAGGTTCATGGATAGTTTCTCCATATAATAAGTTAGTTTCGTAAACATTTTCTATTAAATCGTCATTTTCCTCACTACTTCATGGTATTACTGATAAACGTCAGACTCACATCTGTGTGTGTCTGGTTGTGAACTTTTTACCTTTTATTTTTGTGAACCTTTGTTTATCCATGTTAATGTAAAAACAAGTTTGATGGATGTATTTGGGGAGAACTGACATATTAACAATATCAAAAATATGGTACTGCTCCACTGATTCAGATCTTCCTTTATGTCCTTTAAATGTTTTTGCTAAAGTATCTAAAAGTAGTTATGCACTTTACTAATATGAACTTTTGCCCCAATTAATTTCATGAATATTTCAGGATAATAAATTTTACTTGATTTTGACGAACATAATCTTGTCTTTCATTATATATATTACTTGCATAATAAGGGAAAATTATAATTTCAAATACAGTAACCTTACATTTGGCACTTTTAAACTTCTTTAGTAGCTCAGAATTTGTGTTGATTCTTCGTGTTATCTAAAGAAATCTTATGTGTAAATAAGTTGGGAAGTTGTAGTTACAGTGGACACATTGTTTCTGGCCTTTAATTTGAAGGTTTCAGTCCATGTTCCTAGGAAGAAGAGCCAAGACAAGGACATGGTTTGACACTTTATTTGTGAGGTGTGTTAAGGAAGGCAATAGCAGAGAGAGAGAGAGAGACCCAAAGGAAGTATCTCAAAGAAACCGGTATGCTGCAACAACATTACAGGGCACCCACTGATGGGGTCAAAGATATTTGAAGACCTCCATAGTCCATATCTGATGATCTCCCAGCTCCCGTAATTCCTATAAGAATTTGTTTTAAAATGCTGGAGCTACATGCAATATGACCTCCTGAATTGAATCCGAAAACAATAAATATAAGTGGAAGACTGATGGTATGTGAACAAAGTTACAGTGCAGTCAACAGCAGTGTCCCAATGTTTTTATCATAGCTTTGACAAATGGACCTTGGTATAAAAATGTTAACATTAAGGAGACCTGGGCAGAGGACACATGGGAACTTTCCACATTATCTCTGTAACTTTTCTGCAGATCTTAAATTATTTGAAAATTAAAATTTCATTAAAAAGGGTGAGGGAGACATAAATATACACCTGTGTACATAAGAACACAAAACTGAACTGTATTGATGCTCTGACAATAGCAACAGAAAAGGAATACACAGCGTCACTTCAGAAACAACCCATGGGGACAGGAGGAAGTAGTGATTGGGAAGAGGAAGTGAAGGCTTCCATGTTTTGGTCATGTTTGATTTCTTGACCTGGGAGTAGGGGTCATACATGTGTCTTCATTTTATGGTAATTCACTGAACTGTACTTTTTGCTATATTACCATTCATTTAAAAAAGTATTAGTGGTAAAGATTTTCCTATTTTGGTAAAGGTTAGAATGAAGAGAACTTAGGGATGTAAATGAGGTGTACAAGCAACAGGGGGAACTGGCAAGGACAAAAATAATAGATCTTGAAACAGAATCTAAGATTTTCTTAGCCAGTGAGGACCTTGGAAATTTGGAAATCCAAAGTGGTCAGCTCTCCATGGAGGACATCTTAGCCAAGTTCCTCAGAAGGTTCAGGCACTCTATTATCTACCACTGAGCTACCCTGTGAGGTAAGTGACACTTCAAAGTGCAATGTCCCAGAAACGGTACAATAACCATATCACCAGACCCTGGCCTTCTACTGCACTTGCAGACCAGAGCTCCAGTCAAGGTTCCTGAAAACTATCAGCAAGTTCTACCAACCACAACAAGCTTATCAGAAACACTGTTTTCTATCAGCAGGACTTCTTTCATCCTAGAAATCACATTGTTTTTTCTGACATACTTTAGATTTCATTCATACAGCATTAATAGATTATCATTTATTCCACAATGGCAGATCACAGATTCATAGACTATTAAATCTGGAGGGATAGGGACCGACCCAATCATTCCAAAGATGAGGAAACTGATGTCAGATCCATTAGTAACTTGTCAAGACTTTCTAGAACTCGATTCTCCTTTCATGAGTCAATAAACTAGACTGGATTATTTCTCAGGGTTACTGTCTGACAACTTGAACGGATACATATTAGGCTTTAGCTCAGATTCTTTTACCTGTAATTGACTTTGTTGTGAATGGTTCAGTTGGAAAATGATCATTGCTGAACCATAGTGTGATGGCAATTAAACAGAAGTTAACAAAAATATCTTCATTAAATACTTAAAATAAATCAAAGAGCTCGTTATTAAGGGTAATTCATAGCAAATTCAATAGGAATTTAAAAATTTCTTCTTTGGTAGTACTTGGATTTGAACTCGGGGTCTTGTGTTTTCAAGCAGGCTCTCTACAACTTGAGCCGCACACCCAGCCCAAGATTGTTCTTGTTAAAATATAACAATTGTAGAAAGGTGATTGTGAGGAAGATAATCATCATGGAAGCCATTGCCACGTGGTTCTTCCACAAGCCCCAAGGTGAGAGATCGATGTTCTGCATTCTCAAGAATTCTTCACCAGTACATCTGCAATTCAACACACGAAAATGTAACTCCATTCCTAGCATACGTCACATCGTACTCAGTATATTCACTGTGTCTTATTTAAAAGTCTTTAGGTTAACTGCATCGTTAATAATCATTCCTTCATCCACAGTCACTGGTGCTTACAACTTTGGTGGATGCCATGCTAAGCAACTTGCATCTAAAGCTCAGTTAATTTCTAAAATCATCCAAACTGGCAGATATTATACACACTTAAAAGAGGAGGAGAAGGAAGCCTAAGGAACTTGGCCAAGTTCACAGTCACCTTATGAACCAAGTTTCAAGCTCCTCAGATTCATTCATTTACAAATCTATAATGCTGCACTCTGCAAAGGGCAGAGGATTTATCAATTAACTTTTCACTTCCTGCTGATGGGGAAAACCTCAGCTTTCACCAAGGACACCTAAGGCCCTCCTGAAGATCATCAATACTCTCTGTGGCTCTGTTCACTCACAGGTTAGCCGTGCTCAGAACACTGACTAAGAATTCTAAACCTGGGCACAGTGGGGAGAAGGGCATCAGCACAGTCACTTTCTGTCAGCTCTCACTCCAAGTCTCCAATGAGCATCACAGACACTCAGGTACAGGAAGTCACCAGTAGCCCAGGTATCAGATTAAACTCAAGCAGCAGCTGGAGTACAGAGCAGGATGGAGTGGCCTGCCACAGGCCAGAAACACACCTGGTACTAAAACCACCAGGTACAGACACAGTTATTGCCTGCTGCCATTCCTGTGCATCTCTTGGAATTTCCCAAAACCAGCCATGGCCTCTCTTTCATCTTCTGAGGGTAATCCTTATGGGAGTGAGGGGTTTGTGGTGGTGTCTTCTTATCTGGTCCCACTTGTCTTGTCAAACTCCTCCTGAACAGCAAGCTGGCAGGAACTTTGTGTTACAAAGACGCCATGCCCAGATCAAACCCAAGGGAATGGGCAGTGTAAAGCAAACCTCTTCTTACAGAGGGTTTCCTGTGAATAATTCAACAGAGATCTGTTATATCATTAGAATTATTTAATACTATTAAAAAATTGAGGATTTAGGAAAATAGCATTCTCTTTTCTCTTGTTAATTTATATATCAAAATCAGAACATTAACAATCATAGAAAAATATTAACATTTTAAAACGAGATCTTCTAATTTTATTAGACCTGCATTTGTTTCAGTGACATTAAGAAAAAATCAAATTTCCTTCTCAACTTCCTGAAATATGTGTTTCTTTCTTTAGAGAATGCATCCTCTCAGAGAGAGTGTCCCAGGATAGTTTACACACACACACACACACACACACACACACACACACACACAGAGCTGTACGGCGGCATTTGATTTCCTGCATTCTCTCAAAGGGAGGAGGCAGAGGGAAGTGCCTGCATCCTGACAGGAGATGTCCACCACTTTGTGCTCTTACTGCCTTTCAGCTGTCACTGCTGTCCACAGGCTGGGCTCAGAGGCAACATCTAAACCACACAGTTCAGAGACCTCAAGCCCTTGCTAAACTATCAAAGCAGCTCTTTTCTAACTCAAATACTCTGAAAAGTAAGCACTGAAACCTACAATTAAAATATCAAAGTGATCTTTCACAAGGCCCAAAGGAAACATTTCTATATACTGTGTATGATTTTTACTGTAGAAGAACAGGAGTACAGCATGCACACATGCAGTAGGGCACAGTGACTCACTTTACAGTTGAGAAAACTTAGACACAGAAAGGTTATTGACCCTGAACTCACTGGTACCAGTTGTAGGCCCAGGGACCTTTCTACATCACACTAAATGGTAAGCAAACCCAAGAGGACATTGAACACAAACTTACATTACATAGTTTGGACAGTGACTACTTTGTGTTGTATTGATGTCTGGCCAGAAGTTTTGCCCCAACAATTCATTATGCTGCAAAGCCTGTAACATAGGGGGAGCAGGGCAAGATAAACAGTTTAAAAGTTTCCAAAGAAGAAACAATTCTACCTTCAAGCTTAATCTTTATTGTTAAAAACACACCATGTTTCATAGTCATAGTCTTTGCCCCGTCAAAGCAGCTAAGAATCTAAGTTTATTTCCCCAGGCAGTCAAGAGGCCTAGGGTTAGGATATTGCTTAATTGCCCAAGAAGGGAAACCTCTGGGCAGATTACCGCAGAGCTCCTTCCTTCTCCCAGCTTCCCCTCCACCCCCCAATTTTATAATCTCACAAACACTACAATTAAAATGTTATAATGGTATCCAATGGATATTGTTGATTTATCATAATGATGTTTTCTTCTTTGTTTTCACCAAAACCAGCTGAAATTAAGGGAACCAGAAACTGAGTTTTGCTGTATTAAGACACACACAGTTTACTTTAGAGATTAGTTTGCTAAAGCCAATATGGCTGTATTAGATGTTTGTTTCTCTTCTAATTTCTCTTCAGATATGCATTCTAGTCTCCCATCCTCTCACTTATTTTCTTACTGACCTGAAACACAACAATGATTTCCATCAACTAGTCCATTTCCCCTATCCTCTGAGATTTCTCTGACCCTTCATCTTCCTCAAACAACCGGGTGCCTGGGGGAAACCTCAGATGACTCCTGACCTTGTGCTAACCCAGGCTCACAGGAAATACTCATCCATTGTTCCTGAAAGGAAATTCCTGGATGGAAGGCTTTCCCACTTGTGGCAGGGAACTGACACAGTAAGGCTTTCTTTTGGTGGTGTCCAGCTTAGAAACCAAGTCATAGTGACAGATGAGGACTGCTTACCGTAAAACCATAGTAAGGAACACTGAAGTACTGAAGCCATGATAGCCCAGGCACAATGGTTCCAAAAAACAGTGACAGACCTAAAAAATACTACAAAAAACAAAATCCAAAAATCAGAACTGGACCAATGATTTCATGAAGATTCTGAACGAGACATTCTGTAAGAACCCTAAAATCTGGTAAGCAATTCTGCTAGGACGAACTCTTCCGAAATCTTTCAACTTACTCAAATGCTAATTTTCTTCATGCAGGTACATACTTCTGTGTAGCAAAGGCTATTTTTGGCTTTAAAAGAAGAAAAATATGTGTATAAGCCACATCATTTATTCTTCTTATTTTAGAAATCCCTAAAATTTGCCTTCAGCTTTCTCTGTCACTGCCTGCAGTAGAAGGGGATTGCTTCTAGGACCTCCCACACACATAGCAAAATCTGTAGATACCACTGTAGAGTTTAGAGAATAATGGCAAGAAAAGAAAAACTACATATTCAGTGCAAACCATAATCTTTGTTTTATATATTTTTGATCTGTAGTTGGCTGATTCTATGGATGAAGAACACATGATCATGATGGGCCAACTGTACTCCCATCTGTTTTCCCTAATAAACCTATATGAAACAGTAGCCAAAAAAAGGCTGCCTGTGGGCTAGGAGGAAAGCTGGTTCTTTCTTAAATATAGCTATATTCCATCGTATGATCTCTTGAAAGTGTCAGAGTCCAAGGTGTAAGTCCTCGAAGTAGGTTTTACATGATAGATGAATGTGCAGAAGGGATATGAGGAAAAATTTCCTCTCAGAGAAATACACGTCATACTCACCAGCATGAACACAAAGTAGGTAGTCACGAGAAGTGTTGATATAGACACTGCATTCTCACCTGCTCCGAAAGATAGTGATAGAGAACTGGCCGAAAAACCCAACATCAAGACAATAAATATCGTAATGACAAAAGCCATCACGCTTGGGTTTAATCCTTACAAAGAAAAGAAGTGTCAGTCTTCAAGACTGTGTGTTATGCAAATAAATCCGTAATAATCTGATACGTTAGTGTCAGGGTTGAACAAAGACACTGGCTATCCAATGACCCTGGGTCACCAGTCTCACTCTTTCCTTCCCTGTTGCTGTACAGTTATCACTCAGTGTTCTTCTTTATGCTTATTGCAAAAGCACGTTTCCATATAACACCTGTGTCCCGTGTGTGTAATTATGAACTCTCTGAGTTCCTGCGATGGTGAGCTACAGGAAACAGTGCTGCCTTCTCCTCTGACAGGAAACATCAGGACGAGGCGCTCATCTACCCGGACATCTGCACATCACCCAGTGTTTGCTGTAACTACAGTAATGAAGGCACTGGGATTAGGATCATATGATATGACCTCACAGTGGTTTTAATACCTTGTGGGCGGGGGTGGGGTGGAGGAGGCCCACAAACATTATTCCCCTCCCTGGGCAAATGACCTCATAACTCTGTGATTGAGGACCAAGATAAGACAAATTTCATAAACCAGTTCAGAGTTGTAGTGAATTAATGGTCTGGGTTGTGCAGTCTGAAGATTTGCATTAATCAGGAGTCTGGGTGGTCTAGATTCCATGCCTTATTCTTCACAACACACCTCTTCTCTATTAAATAAAAGTTTTAAGCACCATCCGTGGTAGTTTTCCTGTACACTATGGTCAAGATAGATCTGTCTGGAATCTGTGTGAGCACATCAATGAAATATATGGAAACTCTAATTTAGTGCATCAGGGTGAAGCCTGAGTTTACATATGAATCTGTCTACCTCCACCAACAATATTTATATTAAATCAGCAATCCCCAAGTCAACATCTTTCTTTTACAAAATTAGAGGGGGGAAAGAATGTAAGCATGCTTTTTTTAAACATATATATATATATATCCCTGTAGATAATAGAGATATCACCAACTCAGCTATATTTTATCTCTATAAAGATATATGTACATAGGAAAATAAATAGGTAGATAGGTAAATATTCCGTATTCTGGGCAGAGTCTTCAATAGTTTTATAAATTCTTTTCATATTTATTCATGACACATAGCATCTTTCAGTAAAACATAATTTAATAAATAGGTTTAAAGGTTCAGTTGGGAACAAGTCTTGACACAATACCCACATTGAACAGCTTTTTAGGTGTGGGCAATGGGTACATGCTCCCCTAGCTTATGGCTTAGTTTGTAATTTTGAGAACCAAGAGTATGCTTGTAGAGAGAACCTGGATTCCCTCATGTCTAACACTAAAGACACCTTTTTTTTTGTTTTGTTACTCACCAACCATGAAGTATAGCATAGAAGTAATTATAATACTTGGAAGTAACCTCCTAGGTATTAACTCAGATACCAGTTTTCCTAAGAAATATGGTAACACACTGTAGTATGCACCGATATGCTCATGTCTACAAAACAGAAATACACATCAAACATTCAGATTAGTTTCAGAAGGCACAGACCAGATGAGATGATTTCTACTCAGATTTCTGCTGCCCTACCCCTCGGGTTTAACAGAACAGGTTCCCATACCATCCAGTCTGACCCCACACCTTCACCATCTAAGGCACCAGCCTTCCTGGGTACCATCCCCATGAAGTTGTTGCTATGACACTCTGGCCACACAAACCTCCTTTGGCCTCTGAGCTCCCTCAAGGAAAACAGAGTCTGTCTCCTCACTCTCCTCATAGACTCACACTGGCTTTCCTCTGACACTGGCTCTCTGCACAATAGCATTGGGGACTGAACTCAGGATAATGGCAGTTTTTCTCCTCCCCACTTCCTGTTATGAAGAAAGTGACTCGCTTTTCTCCCAGGTCCCCAAGGAAGCTTAATGTCACTACACTGTTTACTTCTGCTACTCTCATGTCAAAAAAGGAAAAAGACTTCTTCAATGGCCTCGCCTCCAATGGCCAGCCCACTTCCTGATACTTTTCTACTGTCATTCTAAACTTTTTCATTCTTCCCCTCTCTGAAGATTCCTGTCCTTGGCAAGTAAATATGGACAAAGCTCTTCCATGTTTGCAAAACACAAGAGACAAGTCTTGCTGTGATGTAAAGCTGCCCTCTGGCTCTGCCCTCTTCTTCACCCACTGTGGGTGAAACTTGCTCAGATTCTTTGTCAACTTTGCCTCCCACCTTCTACTTGCTGTTGAGTCCACCACTTCCTCTCTCCTGAGCCCCTCAATCTTTTCTAGCTTGGGTTAGTAAGACCTGTTTTTTTCCTAAAACAAAAGATGCTTTCCCTCCCCTGAGGGAGCACTGAGTTTGCTGAATGCACCCCAACCTTGAAAGTCTCCTTTCCCTCAGTAGCAGGTGCCACAGGTTCTTCATTTTCTATCTGAATCATGACTGCTTTTACTCAGTTTATAGTGGTAATCTCTACACGTACTTATAAAGCCCATGTTGTCAGTGATAAGTGCATATAATTTATATTTGTCAACTAAAAGTAACGAAATGCAACACAAGAAAATAGTGGCAATCCATAGGATTGCATCCTAGGCCCAGTTCTGGATGTGACCAGGGTGGTCAACAGCAAGCAATGGCCCTTCTAGAACAGGGACTACTTACATAAAGAGCTTCTGCTCGAGCACAAAGAGCTCGCCAGAAGATACGCTGGTGATACACTGGAAGACTGTCAGCAGGAAGAGCAGTGAAGCTCTGCAGGACAGAATGGGAGCAGAGCACACAGTGAATTCAGTGCTATCAAGTGGATTTCTATCCACAGAACTCTGAATGCTTTAACAATGGCAGCAATGGTGAATCAAAAATAAATACTGAAATAAGTTAAACAAAAAATTTAAAACTGAGAAAAGGTTAATGCCCAATTTCACCAAAACCAACTGAGGAAACAGCTAAAGCTCTTCATTATTTCTTTGGGTTTTTCTTCCAAGAACACTAAGGAGTTGCTTTCCACTTCATCTTTAAAGTTTCAGTTCATAACAGGTTTCTCAAAATTTTTTTAGTTGTTTCCTACAACACGGTGTAAAAGTCCTAACCTGCAGATTATTTTCTTTCAGAATAATCAGCTTTCTTGCAGACATCAAACATAAGCTTTCTCAATTTTGCTCAATAGTAAAAATGGAGATAACGCCATCCACTCCTCTGGCTTATGGGAAGTAGCTTGAGGCAGTGGGCGTCAATCATGGAGTCCAGGGGCCAGCAGAGTGGTTCTCAATACACAAATTACAATGAGAACCTTGAGGCCTCTTATGTTTCTCTGAGCGCCTGTGTTCAGAACATGACACAGACGTTAAAAAGCCTCATGGTGAAACATGACTGAAATCCCTTAAGGATCACACACTGACATAGTGTTGTCCATATAACAGTTAGGAGGCACCTGCACATCCATGTTTATTGCGGCACTATTCACAATAGCCAAGTTATGGAAACAGCCAAGATGTCCCAGCACTGACGAATGGATTAAGAAAATGTGGTATCTATACACAATGGAATTTTATGCAGCCATGAAGAAGAACGAAATGTTATCATTCGCTGGTAAATGGATGGAATTGGAGAACATCATTCTGAGTGAGGTTAGCCTGGCTCAAAAGACCAAAAATCGTATGTTCTCCCTCATATGTGGACATTAGATCAAGGGCAAACACAACAAGGGGATTGGACTATGAGCACATGATAAAAGCGAGAGCACACAAGGGAGGGGTGCGGATAGGTAAGACACCTAAAAAACTAGCTAGCATTTGTTGCCCTTAACGCAGAGAAACTAAAGCAGATACCTTAAAGCAAATGAGGCCAATAGGAAAAGGGGACCAGGAACTAGAGAAAAGGTTAGATCAAAAAGAATTAACCTAGAAGGTAACACCCACGCACAGGAAATCAATGTGAGTCAATGCCCTGTATAGCTATCCTTATCTCAAGCAGCAAACCCTTGTTCCTTCCTATTATTGCTTATACTCTCTACAACAAAATTAGAGATAAGGGCAAAATAGTTTCTGCTGGGTATTGAGGGGGGGAGCGGGAGGGGGCGGAGTGGGTGGTAAGGGAGGGGGTGGGGGCAGGGGGGAGAAATGAACCAAGCCTTGTATGCACATATGAATAATAAAAGAAAAATGAAAAAAAAAAAAAAACAGGAAAAACTGAGTCTACGTGCTTACTCCACAGTCTCAGGCCAAAAAAACCAAGACACACCAAGGAAACTGGCTAGCAAACAACAAAAGAAAACAATTAGCTATATCAAAATTTAAAACATTTATTCATCAAAGGCACTGTCAAAGTGAAAAGGCAGCCCAGAGAGCAGGAGAAAATATATGTAAGTCATGTACCTAATAAAGAATGTTACAGAAATATAGAGAATTCTAACTCTACAATGCATAAATTTAATTCTTATTTATTTTATTATTTTTACATTTACTCAGATGTATATACAAAGTTTGGACCACCCCCACCCCACACCCCGACTTCTGTGCAAAACCTGTTCCACCCTCTTGTTCTCCAATTTTGTTAAAAAGGAAACATAAGAAGTAATATGAAAGCCATAGTGTTTTTGCTACTTTGAGGTAAAGACAGCTATACAGAAAGATTCCTAGCATTGCTTCCATGCACATGTGTATTATACAACCCACATTGGTTCATCTCTACCAGACCTCTTCACTACTTCCTAATCCCTTCTCATTGTGGCCTCTGCCAGTTAAGATTACTATATCATAATTCCTCTACAGCAAGCACATCAACCATATTCAAGTTTTTGGTTTCCTTCCCTTTCCCTGTCCCTCCTGTGCACAGTCTCCCCTTAGTGTATGACCCATGTCCATAATATTACTGCATTTGGTTTAGGTCTATACTCCACATATGAGGGAGCACGTGCGATTTTTTGCCTTCTGAGGCTGGCTAACTTCACTTAAGATGATGTTCTCCAGTTCTGTCCATTTACTTGCAAATGACAAAATTTCATTCTTCTTTGTGACTAAATAAAATTCCATTGTATATAAATACCACATTTTCTTAATCCATTTGTCAGTAGTAGGGCATCTTCACTGTTTCCATAGCTTGGCTATTGTAAATAGTGCTGCAATAAACATGGGTGTGCAGGTGCCTCTGGAGCAACCTGAGTCGCATTCCTTTGGGTATATTCCCAGGAGTGGGATTGCTGGATCATATGGCAGATCTATGTTTAGTTTTTTAAGAAGCCTCTATATTGTTTTCCAGAGTGGTTACACTAGCTTGCATTCCTACCAGCAGTGTATGAGTGTTCCTTTTTCCCCACATCCTCACCAACACCTGTTGTTGGTGGTGTTTTTAATGATGGCTATTCTATCAGGGGTGAGGTGGAATCTTAGTGTGCTTTTGATTTGCATTTCGTTTATGGCCAGGGATGGTGAGCATTTTTTCATGTGTTTTTTGGCCGTCTGGACTTCTTCCTTTGAAAAAGTTCTGTTTAAGACATAAAGACCAGTGGAACAGAAGAGAGGACCCAGATATGAAGCCACACAACTATAACCAACTTGTCTTTGACAAAGGCTCTAAAAATATACGATGGAGAAAAAGCAGTCTCTTCAACAAAAACTGCTGGGAAAACTGGCTAGCAGTCTGCAAAAAACTAAAACTAGATCCATGTATATCACCCTATACCAATATTAACTCAAAATGGATCAAGGATCTTAATATCAGACCACAAACTCTGAAGTTGATACAGGAAAGAGTAGGAAATACTCTGGAATTAGTAGGTATAGGTAAGAATTTTCTCAATGGAACCCCAGCAGCACAGCAACTAAGAGACAGCATAGATAAATGGGACTCCATAAAACTAAAAAGCTTCTGCTCATCAAAATAAATGGTCTCTAAACTGAAGAGAACACCCACAGAGTGGGAGAAAATATTTGCCAGCTACACATCAGACAAAGGACTGATAACCTTAATATATAGGGAACTTAAAAAACTAAATTCTCCTAAAACTAATGAATCAATAAAGAAATGGGCAAGTGAACTAAACAGAATTTTCTCAAAAGAAGAAATTCAAAATTAGCTTTTCTATTCAACTCTTGATGCACTAACTCACCCTACCCCCACAAAAACAGAGACAAGCATTCTGTTCTTGTCATAAATTCAAATTCTTAATAGATGTTTAGAGTTTTGAACAAAGTAACATTATTTTCTCAAAATTGACATATGAATTTACTCAACTATTTTGGACTTCGGTACACTCATTTTTTAGCAGATTGAAAGTGCCACCAACAATCAATCCCAGTATGACTGTCATAAGTGTCTTTTTTAAAAAAGAAAAATGAAAATAAAAAATGAAAGTGTTGCTATTAGAGTTTTAAAAAATGTACATCATTTATTATTATAAGATACATGGCTACATAGTCAGATCTCGCAACTGAAATAAACATTTTAAATGGCTTGACCAGAGTCCTTGGAGAATACAAAACAGTACATGCTATTAGAATGATTTCTAGATTAACTGTAAGTCAAGGTGTCTGTTGCTTGGGGAGCTGACAGGACAACAGAGCAGACACTGGAAAAGCTAAGGTTCCCCGCTCCAAGTGCTCTACCAGTCACTGCCAGTCCACGGCCCAGGTCAGGTGCTGGCACCCAAGTCCACTCAGGGTAGCAGAGCACTGCAGGCACCTGAGGAAGTCATTTGGGGAAAGATCCAAAGTCCAAGTGGCTAAGTTTTCAGCTGGACTGAACTGACAACTATTTGGCAGGGAACATGTACAGTTTTGTAAGTTCAAGTGAAATCAGGATGCCCTTAATCTAAACATTAGAAATATATAGTTCAAGGCTGAGGATGCAGCTCAGTGGTATGGAGATTGCACAGCACATGCCAGATTCTAGGATAGATCCCCAAAATGAATAAGTAATAAAAATTCAAATCAATCAGGACACAATTTCTAGCAATGTAATTTCTTATGACAAGGAAGTAGGGGGAACTGGACCCCCACCTAGCCAACCTCTGGGGAGGCTGCATGGGGAAAGTGCATTGTCATCACTATCACCAAAGAATTCAGCCAGCTTCTTCTGGGACATGCAGGTGCCTCCATTACCCATGTCCTTCGTCATTGCTTCTCCATCCACCTCAGCTACAGTCAACGTGGCACACCTGGGTGCCGATCCTCACCATCCTCACCTATCTGCACCTACCCAATCTGTGTGGATGACTCCCAAGGACACTGGACCAGTATCACTTTTGGTTTTAGAAAATGTGTCTAAAGCATGTTTCTATTGACAAGGGGTTGAGGATTACATCATGATGTCACTTATTTGAGAGATTCACTTATTATTCTTAGGGTAATTAGAAAGATGTGGGAGATGATAATCTAAAGGAAATAAAATATCCTACTACATACCTTAGAAAATTAAAATTAAAAATCTCAGAACCACACCAATTTCAAGACACGAAGTAATTTGTAAAGGACATTTTTGGCAAGTATGAAGCAAAGTAGAAAAACAGAATCATGATCAGAAAATACTTGTTTCTGAACACCATACTCTAAACTGAATATTATATAAATTTTTCACTTAGGAGATGGCCTTAAAATCTCTGTTAATAAGACAGACAGTTAAGAATAAAATTCACCCAACACATTGTTATTGAATATACTCTACTTTATTCCAGTAGATCAAGCTCCACCGGGTCCACCAACAAGTACAAGAGGCTACACTTTCACACAGTGTAACTTTAAAGACTATTCAGTCTTCCACTACACACTCCAAATTCTTTATGGCTTTTACATTCAAACATGGTATCATGTACTAATACTCTCAGTATTATTATTAGGATGTTAGCTACAGGTTTTAAAGTTCTACAACTTTGAAATTGTTTCATTTTTTTTTAAATGAAGGAAAAGAAAACCACCAGTCAAGCTAAGCAAATTGACACTATCTGCCAGTTTTGTGCATCTGCCCCCAGGCATCTACTTTGAACAGAAAGTTAAAAGAAAAATTTCCCAAATATGTTCCTGCTACTTTGTTCCACTGTGTTCTGAGGGATGTTTGTAGCTTGCACTAAAAAAATAAATCCATGGTCAAATGTTTCACATGCTAATGGAAATGATGACAACTCCACAAATTAATGATAAATAATTCTTGAAATGTGAAATTTATATGAAACTGAAAGTTCAGTGTCCACGACTATAGCTATATTGGGACACAGCTATGCTAATTTGTTTTTGTATTACTTATAGTTGCTTTCACAACAAAATGGTAGGGTTGATGATGGATCAAAGACCATATACTATTTGAAAAGTATAAAATATTTACTATCTGGCCCTTTACCAAAAGGAGTTTGTCTACCCTAATCTAACATTTTAGCATTTATAAGAGTTGTTCCACTAAACTAAGAGGAATATGAGCTTCTACCCTTATTCTAGAGACTGCTTCTGGTGGAATTCCTTTTGTGGGATTGAATACACTGATGAAGCAGGTAGGCTGAACATGAAACCTGGAGGCTCTGGGTCTGGTGCTTACATCTTAAAGAAGCATACCACCAAAACAGGAATGATTCTGGTGTTTGGTAAAACACTGTTCTAATTGTGACCTGTCCAGAAGTAATACTCAAGTTTCTTAGAACATGACACTTGTAAATTACTCTTAAAGGCAACTAAGAAAAACCCAAGCCAGGTGCCAATGGCTCATGTCTACAATCCTAGCTACTTGGGAGGCCAAGAACAAGAGGATTGAGGTTGAAGGCCAACCCTGGCAAATAGTTGATGAGAAGCTATTCTCCAAAATAACCAGAGTAAAATGGAATGGAGGTGTGGCTCAAGCCATAAAGGGTCTACTTTGCAAGGATGAAGCCCCGAGTTCAAATCTCAGTCTCACAAAAACCTTCAATCCATAAATCACACTGAAGAAGCAACTCTCAATCCCTAGCACTGCATAAAAGACAAAGAAGGAAAAGGAGACGAAAGAGAAGGAAAGGATAAAGAAGAAGAAAAAGGAGGAGGAAGAGATAGAAGAGAATCTCCCTAATCCTTCTCCACCAATAAATAAATTTTATTTCTTTATTCAGTTATCATCTCTTTGCCTTTATGAGAAAGTAAGTTTCATGAGAGTAGAGATATTTGTTATTACACATTTTGTTCACTACTGTATTGGAGTCCCCAAAGGCAACACATGATCTTATGTTGAACTTGTGGAACGAGCCTGTGAATGAAAATGGAAAACCCCAAATGTGACTGAAATGCTTACAACCTTTGAAAAAAAAAAATTCTACTCAGATTATCCATTACAGCTTCTCTAAATCAACCCAAATTTTGAATCCAGTTGTCCAGAAAACAAAAGGCACAATAGAAACTTTCCACAGTAAAAACCTAATTGTATTTTTCTTTTTCAATTGACTTTTTCTATGTCACAAATGTAGTGAAATGACAAGTAAATGGAAGGTTGGAAGAAGATAAAAGTGATCTGAGCCTCACCACATACAGCCAAATTGCTACCACATCAGTATTTAGCAGTTGAGTTAAACAATTGGTTAGTTACCTGAAGTAAAGTAACCCGAGGAAAAGCCTTCAAATTTTTCAAGGAACGCCAGATAATCCATCTGAGCTGATGACAGAAGGAGGTGACACAGGTGATCTCCTTGAAGGCCAAGCTCTTCTCCTCCTGAACCCGTGAGAGTTTGTCTAATTCAGTGTTGGTTTCTCGGTAGAAGGTGGAGTTGGCATAAGACTCAGCTAATTGTTCTATGCCTGGCTTTTGTGTCTTGGCAAGTTCTTCAGTCGCATTGGCTTTAGAATAAAAATGGATAAAGAAGGGAACACTACTAACAGTTGACAGCTGATTTAACCCATTTTTCTGCAACTCCTTTCTTGAATGACACCACATTCTAAATCATGCCCACAAAACAATTACTGCTGTTCTCATTGTTTTACATGAAATAAAACACAGCTAGTTGACTGAACACTGCCATATCTTTGGTTACAGTAAACTCACAGCACTTTTCTTAACATTTGGACCCTAACTCTTAAAATAGACTTCTAACATACACAGTTATAATTCTTAATACAAAAATCTTGTGTTTGCAAAAAAAGTCTTTGAGAAAATTTAGCACCCTTTCATGATAAAAGCACTGAAGAAATTAAGAATAGAAGGAATGTTCCTTAATATAATAAAGGTTATACAACAAACATATAGCTCACACTATACTAAATGGAAAACTGAAACCATTTCCACCAAAGTCAGGAAGGAGACACAGATGCTGGCTTTCCTCATTTCTATTCAATATAGTTTTGGAATTACTAGCCGGAGCAATAAGACAAGAGCAAGAAATAAAAGGGATTCAAAAGAGAAGGAAGAAGTCAAATTATCCCTACTTGCAGATAATATGATCTTATACCTAAAAGATCCTAAAAACTCCACCAAAACCTCTTAGAAATCATGAACTGTCTTGGCATAGTAGTAGGATATAATATTAATATACAGAAATCAGCATCCTTTCTATATACCAACAATGAACAGACTGAGAATGAAATCAGGGAAACAATCTCATTTACAATAGCCTCAAAAAATATGTTGGGATAAGTTTGATGAAGGAAACCAAAGACCTTTTCAATGAAAACTACAAATCACTGAAGAGAGAAATCAAAGAAAACTTAGAAGATGGGAAGATAACCCAAACTCAACATTGTGAAAATGGCTATACTACCAAAAGTCATCTACATATTCATTGTAATTTACATCAAAATTCCAATGACATTCTTCATAGAGATAAAAAAAATAAATCTTAAAATTCGTATGAAAAAGAAGACCTCAATAGCCAAAGCAATTTGGAGCAAAAAGTCCAATGCTGAAGGTATGACAATTCCCAAATTCAAACTATACTACATAGCCATAACAATAAAAACAGCATGGTATTGGCACAAAAACCAAAATGAAGAACAATAGATTAGAATAGAGGACCCAGACATAAACTCATGCAATTACAGGCAACTGATTATCCACAAAGTAGCCCAAAGGCACGCTATGGAGAAAAGATAGCCTCTTCAACAAATGCTGATGGGAAAACAGAATACCCACATGTAGAAGACTGAAACTAGATCCCTGTCTCTCACCCTGTACCAAAATCAACTCAACAGTCTGAAACTTTGAAACAACTACAGGAAGCAGTATAAAACACACTGGAATAGATGGGCATAGGGAATGATTTCCTAAATAGAATTCCAACTGTTCGGCATCTAAGAGAAAGAATGAACAAATGGGACTGCATCAAACTAAAAAGCTTCTTCACAGCAAAAGAAACAGTCACTAGACTTAAGATACTGCCCACAGAATGGGAGAAAATCTTTGGCAGCTATTCACCCAATAAGAGACTAATATCCAGAATCTATAGGGAATTCAAAACAAAGAATCAACAAGTCAATGAAGAAATGGGCATATGAGTTGAATAGGGAATTTTTAAAGGAAGAGGTGCAAATGGCCAATAAATACAGGAAGAAGTGTTCAACTTTAAAGGGATGCAAATCAAAACAACATGAAGATTTCATCTCACCCCAGTTAGAATGGCATCTTCAAGAGCAAAAACAACAAATGTGGTGAGGATGCAGTGAAGCAGGAACACTTTTATACTTGTTGATGGGAATGCAAATTAGTACAACCATTATGGAAAACAGTGTGGAAATTTCTAAAAAAAGATAAAAATAGAACTGGCATATGATCCAGTGATACCACTCCTGGGCATCTATGCAAAGGAACGTAAGTCAGGATGCAATAGAGACACCTGTACACTGATGTTAATCATAGCACAGTTCACAATAGGGAAGCTATTAAAACAACCCAGATGCCCTACAACTGATGAATAGGTCAAGAATAGATAGATAGGTAGATATGTATATAGAGAGATATAGATAGTAGATATATAGATAGATATATATCTATATATACAACTGTATATATAGACATATATCTATCTCTCTCTCTCTCTATATATATATATCTTGTATCTCTATATATATATATCTGTATATATATACTGATCTATGTATTTGTCTATCTCTATTAATAATATATATATACACAACAATGGAGTTTTACTCAGCCATCAGAAAGAATGTATGATGTAGTTTGAAGATACAATGAGGACATTATGTTAAATGAAGTAAGTCAGGCTGAGAAAGATAGGGTTGCATATTTCTCTCATATGTGGAAGATAGATCCAAAAGATAAATATATACACAAAACCAAACATGATCATATACAAACTCAGATGTAGTACATGTTTGTAATAATGGATCTACACTATGCAATTTGAGGAAGGAGGGAAAGGAAAAGAGAATGAAAAGCATCACAATATCATAATACAGAACATCCATAGAGGTAGAATATATAAGGATATATGTTGAAAGCTGTTGAAAATGGGGGGATGGAAGGGAATGGGTAAGGGAGAGCAATGGAGAGTTGAATTGGATCAAAGTATAGTATACTCCTAACAGGGATGCATTGAGAAACCCTTGAACATCAACTTAAAGAAATTAATAACGAAAGACAGGAGTGTAAAATAGGTATTGTTTCTGGCAAGTATTTGTGGGATGGGGGAGGGTGAATGAAAGAGATTAAGGAGAGGGAATATTGTTGGTAGATTTCATATACACGTACAAAACAGAACAATGAATCCTCTTGCAATTGCTTTAAGTGGGGTGGGAGGGGGATTGGGGAAGAGATGGTGGAGGTGATCTAACCAATGTATAATGTAAGCCTATTCTGAAGTGTCACAATGAATCCCCCTTAAAAGAAATATATCCTAATAATAAAAAAATTATTAAAAATTCTTGTGGTAGCTTTCTACTATGTGAAAATGCACAGTGTCATTTTTATTTTAAAAATATTATAAACAAACTATTTGTGGTACATTGTTATAATAGCAGCACTTGGATGTCAGAGGCAGAAGGATCATGAGGTTAAAGCCAGCCTGCTACATAGCCAGACCCTGTCTGATATCAAAAGAAAAGCTGGCACTAGTGGCTCTCATCTATAATCCTAGCTACTTCAGAAGCTGAGATCAAGAGGATCTCAGTTCAAGGGTAGCCCTGGCAAAATAGTTCACAAGACTCCATCTCCAAAATAGCCAACACAAAATCGACTGAAGTCTGGGTCAAATGGTAGAGCATCTGCTTTGCAAGTGCAAAGCCCTGAGTTTAAACCCCAGGCCCACCAAAGAGAGAAAGAGTAAATATTGATTTTTTAATTGAAACTCCCTTTAAAACTAACAATACCATATATTTATAGGTTTTATTTATAAATTAAATAAAAAACACCAAGAGCACTCAAGGACAATAGTCTACTTGTCAACCAAATCAGAACGCTGCATTAATGTGAATTCATAAAGCCATGTCTCAATGACAGACCACACTGTTAAGCTTCAGAAATATCAACTAGCCAAAAATCTGTGAGCTAAGAGATTCACATACCTTCAAAGTCTTCTTCCTCTCTGTTTGATGCCACACCAGAGAAGTCTCCATTAATCACATCCAGGAAGAAGTCTGCAGGGTTGTTGTGGGTGCCACACTGATAACCTACTGAAGAAAGCAACCCAAAGTCGCAGACCTGATGGTCTGGGAAAATAAAGAGGACTCACTTTTCAGAGGGTGAGAAAGGTGAGGCTACAGAAGAGAGACTCTAACAAGGTCTCCTCTTTTTCTTGTTCTCTCTCCTCTTACTACTATCTTTCTTTTTATATACTGATCCACACAATATTTCAACAACTGTCTCCCAGCAAGAAAGGAAAATACACAACACCAATGTTAGATTCTTCAGAACATCATACACATGTCCTTACACATCATACATAATCATGAAACCCAAAACAGCTACTGAAGCTCTGGTGCTTCTCAGTGCTTCTTCATAAACCCAAAGCTAGGTCTAAGAAAAAACGCATTCACTGTGCAGGTTCCTTGTGCTCTGCAACTCCACCTAAGGGATGCTGCAACAGCAGTGCACATGCCAACAGTGATTGCTTCTCCACTGTTTGGAAAAGGAGGGAAGTAGGAGAGGGGGAATAGGACTGTAGTAGAGGGGGTGATCTTGCTCAAGGTATACTATATGCATGTGTGGAATTATCACAATGAAATCCCATTGTATTGTTAATGTATGAAAATTTAAAACAAATTTTAAAAATGATTGCTTCTCCACGTAATTCAAAGGTTTCAGTTACTACCTGTCATGCTGCCATAATTACAAATGAACAACACACCCCCAGAGCAGCCACCAGGGCACATCTGAACTCCGACCTCAGCTTCTTATAGCACAATCATTTGAACTTGTCCTGACCTCTGATTCTTCAATTCATCCCACCTGGACTTCCTAGATTCATTATGCTTGAATGTTTTTAAATGACAGCAATTAAACAAAAAGCAAATTAAGGATGAGAGTGACGATTCCAAACTGTATTTGGGATCATGAGGAAACATCTTTAATTATATCCAAATATCTCTAAAATGACCCAGACTTCATGAGACATTTAAAAAATCACATAATACAATCTAAAATAGAAAGAACCTCCTCCAGAAATGCTGATGTATCAAAGTCAGATTCAGGCCTACCCACTGCATTGACTAACAGGTCACTGGACCTATTCACAGACTAAATGTGCAATCTAATGTCACTAGAATATTCAGTGGCCTCTCCATGACTCATCATTAAGGCAGAGCAAGATTACAAGCCAGGGAAAAATGGAAAACCCTGCTCTCCAATATTGTCAAGAAGACAGTGAGCTTGGGCCTTCTCCAAACTGTTCAACTGACAGAACACCTGACTGTGAGTCCAGTTCATTGCTAAGCTTTCAGGGAATGTCACAATACCTGGAAATAGAGGATTCATAGGCCAAGCGGACACACTCAGACACATCCACGCACACTCAAATAGGGCAGGAAGTAGGAGACCTAAACAATAGCGAGTGCTCCAAAGGGAACAAAAATTCTCATATCAAACTGATCAAAGGTGTTTTAGAGTGCTGGAAGCCAAGGTACATCTATGTGAACTTCAAACATCACAACCACCGACCCCTCTGCTCTATTCCAGGAATCTATGAATAAAGCACCAACAACAGGAAAGTCAACCATACCTGCTGATTCAAAGTATCCCAAGGCCTCCTGTGCAGGCCCATGGAACATTAGTTTTCCTGAGGCCACTAAAGTGAGGCTGTCAAACAACCTGAAGATGGAATACTGAGGCTGGTGAATGGAGAAGATGATTGTACATCCACGCTTAGCTTTCCTAAGTTAAAACAGAGAAAACAAAAAGTCATTAAAACATCCAAACTTTGAATTTCTTGGTAGAATATTTTTTTGCTGCCATTAGATCATTTGCTCCCTGTTAAAATTGATTTTGACATAAATGTCTCATCTGATCTCATATTTTCTACTTAATAATTGGGGAGCCTAAATTCAATGCTTTTATTAAAAACACTAAGGTTTCTTTAAAGATGGTGCATTAATAGTTTAGAATACACTACAATGTTTTTCACAAGCAGATTCCTAGTCCATCTTCCCATGCATTGAATTAGAACCTTGGTGGAGGAATGCAGGGCATCTGTGCTGTTAACAGCACGCAAGGTATTCTGTAAGTGCCCTCAAGTTTAAGAATGATGGACTAGGAAGGGGGAGGGCAAGACGGCACATTGTTGACATCCCTATTGCTCAGCAGCAACTAACTACCTTGATAAAGGAAGATCAGAGAACTCTAAAAGGCACCCACAGGGTCCCATAACCAGAGATAAGCAAAGCCCTCTCCGACTCTGCAAATAGAGAAGCAACCAACCACAGGAAGGATGGGAAGAATGACTCTCAGCTTAACACTCCCAATCTCCTACCCTACAGTCACTGCATTGCTCCAGGCTCCACTACTTAGTGATGGGAACTGTCTCTTATGCAGCCTGAGCCACAGCTGGTTTCACTCCTTGCAAACAAAACCCACCATTCCTTTTCTCCCACCTTCCTTCCTTTACCTGCCCCTAGACCTTGCTTCAGCAGTTGGTCTTGTCCTCTGCTGATCAAGGCTCACTGTTCCTTATCTCCTGCCACCTCCCTTTGCTTGAGACCTTGCTCCTGCAGCTGGTCTCTTCCTTTGCAAATCAAAGACCATCCTTTTTCTTGCTTTCTCAAAATGCTACTTAAGACCAGACCCGGCAGTGGCTGTGCCATTTTTCTTTTCCTTTTCTCGGCCAGCCACCCCGCTTATTAAACTTTTGGACACAAGATAACTCTTGTGAGCCTCCCTTGTGTGTGATGTGTGGTGTTTTCCTAACATTTGGTGCATTGGCCAGGAACAGGTGAGCTTCCAGCATTGATCTTGCTCTCCCAGTCAGTGACTCCATGCCCTCCCGATACATACTGCACTCCCAAGCCTACTTTGGCCACAAGGCAGACATCCCCTATATAGGGGGGCCAAGCTGAGGGTTTATATCAGCCTGACAATGCTACATAGGTGGGAGCTGCCTTCCTTAAGCCTGGATGAACATAATGGGATCTGAGCTGCTTTGCCAGGACCCCTGTTCATAGACTAGTGCCGTCATCACCACTCTTGCTCACAGGTCACTCCTCAAGGTCAGTGCACTTCCTGTAATTCGCCCACCACCAGCTGATTTACTCAGTCCTCCTTTGGTGAGTTCCCTCATGCTGCCGTGCTGTGAGTCATGGTTGTCTCTCTCTCTCAGTTGGTGGAAGTCCTAGTACTAGGTCCCAACTCACTCAGCACAGGAACCGGGTTCCTGAGGCGTGGGTGATCTCTCAGTGAAGACGTTCCCTTGGGGTCCCTCCACTTCTCTATTTCATCCTGGAAAGGAATATCTCGGGGACGCCTGCCATATTTTTCCTCAGACTGGGTCTCACCATGAGCACTGGACCTTCCAAAATTCCCTCAGACACCCTTCTGGGCTGTCTACTGGCCAACCTTGAGCCCCTATGTCTCTCACCTGATCTAAAGGCAAAAAACCTCACTTTTCTTTCCAATCAGGCTTGGCCACAATACCAATTGGAAAATGACTCTAAATGGCCACTAAATGGCACACTCGAACCCTAACATTCTCAGGGACCTCTATACCTTCTGTGAACGCACTGAAAAGTAAAAGGAAAGTCCCTATGTCCAAACTTCTCTTATCTCCACTCTAAGCCTTCTCTCTGCACCTCTTGCTCTGCTGTCCAAGTCCTTCTGGCCATAAACACCCCAATTAACTTCCCTGACTCTGAAACCTTCCCTTTCTTCGACCCTGCCAACAAACCAAATCCTCTCCCTAACCTCCTCCTTCCCCATGTAAACAGACTTCTTATACTGCTCATGCTGCTTGTCTCTTCCTGTCTTCCTGAAAAACTTTCCCATCATGGAGTTAAACAAGCCACTCCTTGCCAACTCTGGCCTCACAGCGATTCCGGCTCTGGGGAGCTCATGCCCTTCCCTGTAGGCTGAGACCAATCCCCAAGTTTATTCAGTACGCCTCATGCTACACTGGCAGAGTCTTGTTTAATTATGGCATCTGATGACCGCTTCTCTTCCCTCCTCCTGTCTAATGTCCCTTTTTCCTGAGACAGCAACCTGAGAATGGAGGTTTTGTGCTGCTGAAAATGTTCCAGTACCAGTCAATGGTAGCGACCTAGAGACACAGGTGATGGCTAATCCCTCAGGCGTGTGTCATGCCTCCAGGCTCTGCCTTCCCCTCCCTTACCTAAGATGTCAGGACACCTTTTCTGCTTCCTCCATGGTCTCACTGCGTGTCCTTTGTCTCTGTCTGCCTTCCCCTCCCTGGTAGACGTTGGAAGCTTTGTACTGAGGCCTGGCCTCAATATGCGTTGGGTGACCAAGAGAAGTGGCCTTCACAGGGTTCCTTAAATTATAATACCATACTCCAATTAGACCTTTTCTATAAAAGGAAAAAAAGTAAACTGAGGTCCCCTATACAAATTTTCTTTCATTTCAGATTGGCTCCACAATTACTATTTAGATACTCAAAACGCTAACCATTCTTTGTAAGGCACAGGATAAACATGGAATGGAGGACCAGAAAAGCCCCTCATCAATGACAAGGCCCACCTCTATTGCTCCACCCTCTGCCCTACCTTCTAAGCCACCCCAATATCCAAAACATCCTAATGGGTGCTTCACCCCTTCAACAGGTAATGGTAGGAAGAGGTCCAAACCTTTCAATTAACATAAAAGGATATTATGCTTCTACTAAACCAGACTCTTGTCTCATTAAAAATAAAATGGGTTCTAGCCCAGGCAAGTCAGGTTAAAAATAATTACCATTTACAGTAAGTCCCAATACTAATGATGCCTAAAAATGAAAAAATAAATATACCTACCTATAGGGGCACAGACAGTCCCCTTAACTGATCCACACTAAAGGGACTTGATATAACTCAAGCAGTAGAGTGCCACTTTGCAAGCATAAAGCTCTGAGTTCAAATCCAACATAGCCAAAGACAAAAGATATTTGGGGCTGAGGAAGTAGCTTAATGAGAAAATGTCTGCCCAGCATATACAAAGTCCTGGGTTCAATTCCCCAACATTACTAGATCAAATAATAATAATAATAATAAAAAGATAGCTGTCATTAATGCCACTTCAGCCATCTCATAATAAAAAAAGTAGTTTAACCTAGACCAGTTTCCTCATTTGAAGAACAGTTCAAAGACCTGCCCTCCAGAGTATCAAGTGTCAATGTAAAATAACAATTTTGCTTTACAGAATGCCCTAAAAGAAAATCCCCTTACCTTTGTACAACATCTTAAGGAGGCTATCAGAAAATATACCACAGTGGACCCAGAGTCACAGGTGAGAGAGGTTCTCCTCAAAGATAAATTTCTAACAGTCAGCCCCTAATATTTGTAAAAAACTCAGTCTATGGCTGAAGGAAAAAAGTCATTGGATCAACTAATACAACTAGCCATATCTGTATGTTAAACCTGAGACGTTACTAACAAAGAGAAAGATAAGAGATATGACCTCATTTCTGCCCTCACCTGACTGGGGCCTACATCTCAAGTTTGCTACCATGGTGGACAGGAGGAGCACTTCTTCAGAGAATGCTTAAGGAGGACAGCCCAGGAGACAGCCCCACCCCCAACCAGGACCCTGTCCTCTCTGCAAAGGTAACCACTGGAGGTCTAAATTCCCCCCCCAGATGGGAGGAGAGGTGCCACCTCCCATGGATTGATGGGTCCCAGCCTCCTGTCCACGCTCCAGTTCTTGGAGCCTTAGGGTAGTCATCATGGTAAAAAAGTGAAAGATCATTTTCCTCCTACAAAGTGGAGCCCATTTCTCTATCTTATCTTTCTCTCCCAGTCCCCAGTCCAATAACAAAGTTATCATTCAGGACAAATCTAGCCAGCCCCTAGAGATCTAGTTTACCCGGCCTCTGGCCTGCTCTTGGGGAGACCTCCTCTCTGTCACTCTTTCCTCATAGTACCTAAAACTCCAATGTCCCTGCTGGGATGGGATTTACTATCTCAACTAAAACTCAAATTCTCCTCCCCCAGGCAGCTATCTCTGCTGCCCCCTCCTTCAGAAACAAATAGATCCCACAGTGTAAACTGATGAGATGAGTGTAGGGCAAGCCTTGATGACCCTCCCTACTCAAATAAAACTCAAAAAACACAGTTTCCACACCCAAAACAATATCCCCTCAAGCCTGAGGGACGATGAGGCCTTACGCCCATCATAAATTCCTTAAAAACAAGTAATTAGTTACTTCACCTCCTATAATAAATTTAAAATTCTTATAAAAGTTAATTTTAAAATACAAGGTACAAAATAAACAACTAAAAGAGATATAAATAGGTAATAAATGTATTTTTTAAGAAGTTAAAAAAATTGTTTTTAGATAAAAAAGGATTTTATAAAGAAGGGTTTATCCTAAATATTGTTTCAAATAGGAGGAATAAAGGCAAGCCATCAAAGGGTTAAGTATGTTATATAAAATCTAAATAAGTTTCAAAAATGTATAATAATAAGCTTCAATATGTAATAAAATTAAAGTTAAATATAATCTAAGAGTTGCCTACAAGATTTTTAGGGTCAGGTCAAACAAAATCAAATTCTCTATGTCTATAAAATAACAAAGTTATCTTAATACTGTTCTGCTCTGAGTAACATCTACAAAAAACCATTACAGAAAAAGATTTTACAAAGAAATTGTTTATATTTTCTGTTGATCTTGTCAAACTAAGTACTACTAAATCAGAGTTCATTTATGTATTTGCTCATGCAAAGATCTCTTAAAT